TCTTCGGCATAAACATTAAACTTACATGTTTATGACGTTGAATATCTTCGGCATAAACATCAACTTAGATGTTTATGACGTTGAATATCTACGGCATAAACATTCAACTTAGATGTTTATGACGTTGCATATCTTCGGCATAAACATTCAACTTAGATGTTTATGACGTTGAATATCTTCGGGCATAAACATTCCACTTAGATGTTTATCGCTTCCCTTAAATGTAATCCATGCTAATCTACTCTGTCAGTTCCTTGTCATGATGAGCTCTGTTTTCTGTGCGTAGGCTTTTGCGCAATAAACCAATCGTACACTAATTGGAATAATTATGGCAATGTGCGTTATAAGCACATGCCGGTTTATTAATTTTTTGTAATGAATAACATAATTATTAATATAACAAATTATTAAGGAAACTAATGTTCGTAACAGAAAAGGTGGGGGTAATTCGAACGCCCACCACTAAGAACTAGTATACATATCAAAAGGAATTGCGCCAGAAAACGGGGAGGAGGGTGGGTAAACTTGATTTCCGATGGAGATGTTTTGCAGCCAATGTGCAGAGCAGAATGAACCGATCCCGCATTCTAGTTCAACTAAATACCGCGAACTCCTAGCCGTTTTCCCGCGCATTACAATCATGTGATTAAAAAATTCCCTGGAAAATCCCAGTAGGTTTCTATCTATTTATATAGTTCAAGTGCAGGAAGCAATAAAATCTTTATTGGTATGCCAATAATTCCTTTATCGCTTCCCTTAACTTTAATCCATGCTAACCTACTCTGTCAGTTCCTTGTCATGATGAGCTCTGTTTTAGATAGATAGATAGATAGATAGATAGATAGATAGATAGATAGATAGATAGATAGATAGATAGATAGATAGAAACTTTTATTTAAACACGCTAACCATTGTCAACCTAGGCTGATTTCCACAAGGGACGTGTACAATAATAAAATTACAAAGATATAGTATATAGTAAGATATTACATACACATACAGTAAAATATATATATATATATATATATATATATATATATATATATATATATATATATATATATATATATATATATATATATATACATAATTATATAAGTATAAGAATAATAATGCTATTCAAAAATGTGAGTATTCAAAAATGTGAGTAGCAATTTTAGTTTCAAAGGACATGATGGAGTTGCTCTCTCTAGTTTTGGTTGGTAAGGAATTCCAAATGTGTGCCCCGTCAAACATGAAACTTTTTTTCAAGCTATTTGTACGCGGCTGTGGTAAGCAAAGAGTACTTTCCACATCTCGAAGTTTATAATTTGTCATTTCACTTTTGAAAGTAAATAAATCAGTAAGTGATTTAGGACCCATTTTATTCAACAATTTAAACATCAGTTTGGACTTAGCCTTTATTCTTTCCGTTTTAAGTGGCTTCCAGTCTAAAGCATCTAAAGCAACCAGATGATCTACATCATTGCTCATATTCATTATGATTCGAGCAGCTCTGTTTTGGAGCTTTTGGAGGCGTTTTGATTGTGTTTCACCAAACACATCCCATACTTCACAGCAATATGTAAAGTATGGGCGAACAATAGAATTATACACAGAGACAAGTGTATCTTTCTCAACAAATTCTTTTATTTGACGAAGAGCTGATATCCCGGATGTTATTTTCTTGCAAATTGTTTCAGTATTATTCTTCCAAGACAAATGCTGGTCAACAGTCACTCCAAGAGTTTTGCAATCATATACTTGTTTAATTGGTTTGTTTTCTATGATAATGTTTGGTTGTCTATTTGAGACTCTTTTTATCATTGGTTTAGATCCAATTAATATAAATTCTGTTTTGGCCACATTTAAGCTTAGTTTATTGGCAATTAACCATTTCCTAAGGTTTTCTAAATCAGATTTCATTGCAGCTTCAACATCATTTATAGATTCTCCCGCAGCTGTTAGGTTTGTATCATCAGCAAACAGTCGAGGTTTTGTTTTGCTTAGACACTGAGGCAAGTCATTAATATATAATAAAAAGAATAATGGCCCTAAAATAGAGCCTTGTGGCACGCCACACTTAATCAACCGCTCCGATGAAATAGTTCCATTAACTTGGCATTTCTGAGTGCGATTTATCAAGTACGATTTTAGTAGAGCCAAAGCATCTCCTTTTACGCCATAAATTTCGAGTTTTTTTAGTAAAATCTGGTGGTCGACAGTATCAAATGCCTTTTTTAAGTCAATTAGTACAACCAAGTTAAATAATTTTTTTGTCAATATTCATATACCAACTATTAGTACAGTCTAGTAACGCTGTAGCAGTTGAGTGAGATTTGCGAAAGCCAAATTGACAATCATTAAGTAGCTGAAATTTCGTCAAATAATCATATAGTTGGTCATATAAAATTCTTTCCATAACTTTGCTAACAGCTGGCAAAACAGAAATTGGTCGGTAGTTACAAGGCAAATTTTTTTGGCCATTTTTATAAAGAGGTGACACTCTTGCCATTTTCCATTCATCGGGAAAAGTGCATAGTGTAATAGCCTGATTAAAAATGTAAGTTAATGAACTGGAGATAGCAAGTGCTGCTAGTTTTAAAATTTTACTTGAAATTTTGTCAATGCCAGTGGCTTTTGCACTAGAGAGGCCACGTAGGAGATAATAAACTTTGTTGGTGGTAATTGACTCAAATACAATGAATTCTGATTTAGGTTTCTTAATATACTCTTGAAAATTGTAATTCGAAGTATCAATTTTGCTATAGCTAAGTCAGGCCCAATATTTGAAAAGAATTCGTTAAATCCCTCTGCAATGTCTTCTGAATTTGTTAAATTATTTCCACTTATACTCAACTCATTTACTTTTGTTGGTTTGTTTTGTCTGCCTAGTAAGTTGTTTATTGTTTTCCAAGCCTCCTTTGGATTTTGTTTTTGACCAGCAATTCTCTTGGAGTAATAAGGCTTTTTTCATTTCTATATTTACTTTATTTCTGGTTTGTTTATACACTAACCAATCTGCTTCAAGGTTTTTAATAATGGCTTTTCTCTTAGATCTATCCCTCTTATTTATAAGCTTTTTGATTTCACTAGTAATCCAAGGGACTTTTTTTGATCTGATCTTTTTTTGTTGAATGGGTGCATGCTTATTTAGTACTTCCTCGAACAATTTCTTCCAAATCTCCCACATAGTGTTTGGATTATCAGCGAAGAAATATACATATTCCCAATGTTGATTAAGTAAATCTTCAAATTTTTCATATTTCTAATTTCCACTATGTTTTCATTTTGTTTCTTAGAAATATGAATATTTCTGATGGTAAATACCAAACTATGATCACTGATTCCTGTATGAATGAGACCAGAATCTGAGATTTTCTTTGGTGTATTAGTAACTATATGATCAATGAGGCTGGAGGTTGTCATGGTTACCCGAGTAGCTTCCTTAATTAATTGTGACAATTGATATAGTTCATACAGTGATTTTATTTTCTTGGTTGGTGTATCGGATTCTGTTTTAAGCATGTCACAATTTAAATCACCTAGAATATACATTTCTTTATTTTCATCATCAATCGCTTTGATTAATTTTTCAAAATTTTCAAAAAAATCATATGATGAATTTGGTGGTCGATAAATAGTTGTAACCAAAAATGGCCGACTATGTGGCTTACTAATTTCTACACAAACAGCCTCCAATTCGGAGGGAATAAGATCATTTCTTATTTTATAGTTGATTGAGCTACGTAAGTATATACAAACTCCACCCCCATTTCTTGATCGGTCTTTTCTAACAATGTCATAGCCATCAAGGTCAATCACACAATCAGAAATTTTTTAATCAAGTCGGGTCTCACTAAAACCAATCAGGTCAATGTGTTTGTTGGACATTGTGTGACGTATTTCATCAATCTTTTTTGGCAAACTGACAATATTTAGGAAAGCCATCTTAAAACCTCTTTCATTGGGAATAAAATTAAGGCTAGTGAAAAAATCGCTACCCACATTTTCATTTGACGGATCTATATTAATTATTTTCTCAGTACTTGACTGACATGCTTTAGATAATTTGTCCACTCTTTCATGCGATTTCCAGCTAGTCGAAAAAAAGGCTGACCATTTGTAGTCGGTACTGGCCTAGTATTACTAGCTCTATTTGATTTCAAGAAAGTACAAAAGGCACTCCCTAGTGCTCTATCTCCTACTTTGTTCAAATGTAAATTTGAGCGATTTAAAAGAGATTTGTCCATATCATCATTGTCGATATAGTGAATGTTGTGCTTTAAACATATATGATACATTAAATAATTATAAGATGCTATTTTACTTGGTGGAACTCGACCATCATACCTTTTGATGACACTTGAAACAGCAACTCTCTCCGCTCGATGCTTCACTTTTTCTATCAGCTCTTCCATCTTCTCAGCAACCTTGTCTGCATCCTTGTTCACCAGATCATTGGTTCCAATGTGTAGAATGATGCTCTCGTACTCGTTGTCGTGGCAATTATCCTCGATTAACTTTTGGTGCAATTGACTTACAGTAGCACCGCTGTACGAGTGGCAAACGGTTTTGCCTCTTGCTGCCCTTTCAATTTTCTTTTCATCAATGTTCTTAACCATCGAATCCCCAATGACCAGTGTCTTCTTCTCGGTTTTTCTTGGTTGCTTTGGGTGTTGAGGTTTACTTTGATATTCTTGGGTCTTGCTCGATTTCAAGTAGATCCGCTTCGGTTTTTCATTGTTGTTGTTAGCTTTGACTGGGCAGCCTGACAAGCTGTCCCTTTCCAATTCAGCAACAGGGTCTTCGATAGTCAGGACATCAAAGCGATTTTCAATTGTTGTCGGAGGAATAGCTGTAGTTGTAGGTTTATTTGAGCTTTGTCTTGATTCAATTTGAATCCACTCGTTTTGTTTAATGTCCAATAATGTCTTAATTCCATCGTTTTCTTCTCGTAACTCGGCTACAGTCGCCTTCAAATTCTCAATCTCAGCCGCCATTTTGTTGTTTTCAGTAACCAGTGATGCTTCCGTCGTCGTTTCATTCTGCGGTTTTTCTTCAAGTTTACTAAGTCGAGCGAATACCAGTTCGAAATTGGCTTCTCTTTCAAGTTCGTTGGGATAAAATGCATGTTTACCGCACTCACTACACGTTGGAGAAGGCAGAGGCAACGACATGGCAGCACACATGTGGTCGATCGTTTCTTCGAGAATTTTGTTGTCCGTCGCTTTAGTTTCATCATGAGCATGGCACTTCAGGCTAATTAAAAGTTCATTGTTACGATCTTTTAGAATCTCGATCTTCTTTCTCTTCAAACCCTGCCATTTGAAGACCAATTCCTCATTTGAACTAGTAAATAATTTTACATCACCGCCTGGTGATTTCCATTTCCCCATCAGCTTCAAAACATCACACGTAAAATGCTTTAATTCATCTATACTTCCCTTCCACGAGAACTGAGGGCCACAGGCGACAAGCAAGTTGTTTCTTGAACATAATCTATTGATTTGGTCGTTTTTATTCTCGGATTTTGAACTGGAATTTGTCAAACACGAGCAACTCAGAATTATTTGATCCGTCGCCATTTTGAATCTTGAATCTTTGATTTCTCTGCATAAATATTGAATTTTAATATTTCCTGTACCAGTTCTTTTTTAGTCTCTTCACATTGGAAATTGATATGCTCCTCTTCAACCATATATTTATTTAATCACCAAAAATGTTTGGAAAATTTCCGCCAGAAATACGAAATGTGCGCAGTCTCCATCAATCAATTATTTCTGTGCGTAGGCTTTTGCGCAATAAACCAATCGTACACCAATTATTAATTTTTTGTAATGAATAACATAATTATTAATATAACAAATTATTAAGGAAACTGATGTTCGTAAAAGTAATTATTAAGAAAATTGTTCGCACAGAAAAGGTGGGGGTAATTCAAACGCCAAAAGGCTGCTTTGAAAAAGGAGACATACCCCACCCCATCATGACAAGGACACGCAGAAGAAATGAGGACCTACCTCTAATACATTACATAACAAGACAAGAGAAAAATTAAAAATTGAGAACAACCTATATGAAACGATATAGTACTACGCAAGCTGTCCTACCAAGTCGTGCCCCTGCGTTGACTTGGTAGCGAGCTGTTGATCTAATAAATATGTTGCCTGTGAAGCTATATAGTACTACGCAAGCTGCCCAACCAAGTCGTGCCCCTGCGTTGACTTGATAGCGAGCTGCTGATCTAATAAGACGATTACATGTAGTGTTCTGCGAGCCTTGCCCCTGCATCAGCGTCACAGTCAGCTACAAATCAGTTTTTAGGTAGTAACAACATACCAATGTATAGGTGTCAAGTCTTGTCCCTGTTTCGACTCAACAAAAGAGAAATATATATGTATAAGGTTAGTGCAACATGGAAATGTCTCAAAATGCTATTCTACAGCCATGATCAACCACTGGATCTAATAGTTTAGATGTTCGAACTCAGACTAGGACAACGAATATATTTTCGATATGCGTCTGATTGCCAACGACCCATTAATCGTATTTGTGCATCGGAATAACCATTTTCGGCCGCCAAAATAGCTGCACCGATGCGGAAACTATGTCCTTTATACCTAGTGGAATCGAGACCACACGAACGAAATGTAAGAGCTAAATGGTCGGTAAACAACTTGCGTGAAACAGCATGCCCATCGCGTGTTCGAAAATGCGGTCCAGCGGTTAAACCACGCCAGGCGAAATAGTCTAGCTATATATAAATCGTCTAGCGAAATAGTCTCTGCACTGGGCATATGTCCGTGCGGCGGGGGTTGCTAAAGTGCGAGCCTGCCAGCCCGAGCCTTAATTTGCGAGCCCGAGCCTTAATTTGCGAGCCGCGACCTTTGATTTGCGAGCCTTTCATTTGCAACCCCCATCAGTCAGCCATGGATGATTTTAATGACGAAGGTAATAAACAATTAATATTTTAATCTTTTCTTTTTTATCTGTCTATCGATGTGAAAGAAATATTTTATTTTTAAACGCTTGATTTTATATTACATGTATACAGCTGAAGAGTTCTCGGAACATATACACGACACGAAAGTTAGTATATAATCCATGTATTATATTAAAGGAACCTCTGCTATTTTTATAGAGGTTGGTATATGCTATATATATTTTCGAATATCAATATTTTTGACTATATATATATATATATATATATATATATATATATATATATATATATATATATATATATATATATATATATATATATATATATATATATATATATATATATATATATATATATTTCAAACAGCTTTGCTCATTTGTCTATATTTTATGTAAGGCCGAGGGAATTAAAGTCAGAATACCGTCCTTATAATTTCAAAAATAGATGAGGCTTTTTTCATTATTCATTATTCATTATTTTTAGAAATGTGTGAATGTTGGCCGAACGTAAATAAACCTGTTCAGTATATGCCAGCAAACTTTAAAACTAGGCAGCGAATGCCTGGCTGCCTGCGAAGTGAAAGCTTTGCTGTACAAGTAGACTTTGCCCTTAATACATGACTTCTGCGATGAATTGTAGTTTAATAAACTGTTGATAATTGTTGAAATAACGAAATATTTTGAAATAATGATTTTTTGCGGCAGCATTTTGGACATGCGGGCGAAGGACGCGGTATTCTATGACTTTAATTCCCTCGGCCTAATAGCGCGGTTTAAGTGCATGTTGGTTACAACAAGTCACATGAATACGATGTCGCATGATTGACTTAAAAAAAACAATGATAATCTTTAAAACAAAGTAAAAAGTTTACTTGTTTACTGTAGTTCGGGAATCAAGGAAATTTAAATGGCATGCACATTGGTCATTACTTAATTTAATTGTTTGTTCTATATTTGTATATTTGTAAAATGCTGTTGAACCTACCTGCCTGCATGTGGAGTGTGCAGGTTGTACACTTCTCTCACTCTTAATCTTTATAATAAGTTATGATAATGGAATTGAATACAGTACCACTGAGCTAGGTTTTCTTTCCAGTGAGAATAAAAATGATATCATCATGCATGTATAGTCACTGGCTGTGCTCAAGTGAAATATACTATATTTCTCTTGATTGATATGTTTACGCATAAATAATGTACATTTCTTTAATTTTGAATATTTCTTAAATACTATTTAATTTATAACTTATAAAGCTTGTATTGCTAAATTTCAACAAATCTACAATTTTGGGCGCTGATACTACCATTTTCGAGCTTCCATGAAGCGTGCATTTATATAAATAGGTTTCTAAACGTTTCTTCTGGACAGCCATATTAACTTCGCTGGGCGGGGTATCGAAGTGTCAGATTTATAGCACCCTCGGATTTTTTTTTTTTTATATATTAGAAGTGTTCTTTTGAGTTTTGACGCTCAAACTCGTGCAAAACAACGACAGTTTGATACAACGCCCAAAAAAGTTAGAATATAAAAACGTTTTAATTGACAAACTCCGTGGAAGAAACGTTTTGAAACCCGGCTAGTTATAAATCATGGAAATAATAGACATAGAATGAGTACTTATATCTTTTCTTAGCAAAATATTTGTCTCCACAAAATGGCGGATTTATAAGGGCATTTTGGCTATTCTCAAACTCCTGTGGCAAAAAATTTCGGGCGGTTGCAGGGAATGCCAATTGTGTCTGCCTCATCCCCAGTCGCTTTCAAAGGGGGGGGGGGGGAGAAGAGAAAAATGTCTTAGGCACACGAAAAATTTTTCAAATGGTGGAGAGGAAAACGAGACAAACTTTCAATATCCAATCTTGCATTGCTCGGCGACTTGTCGATTGTATAGATTGCAATCACTCTCCTCCGCAGAGGCTTTTTTGGCTTTTGGTTTGCTCAGTGCTTCAATTTTTGAAATGAACATTTCTCATCTGTCATCAAAATTTCTCGGAATTCCTTAGATTGTATATGTTATTTCTTTCACAATTCCTTGAAATTTCATGAAGCAGTTTGAAGTGATTTTGTAGCAATACAAAGGATTTAATTAATTTTCAAGGCACAAAATAGCACAATTAACAAAGATGTGGGCCAGCTAAAAATATTATACTGTTTAAATTAACTATTTGTTATGAGTTCACAAGAGATACCTTTACATTGATATCAGATTAATTAACTATTCACAGCATTTGGCGCCAAAAGTTACTAAATCCAATCGCTCAAAAACTTTCGGAAATTTTTGGAAACACGACGAAAAGTTTTAATTAAACAGATTTTTGATCAAAACTCAAAAGATACTGATAATTCACTCAAAAATTAAAAAATAGTGAAACCGTCTTCTTCACCAATGCGCTTGGATGAATATTTAAGCTTTTTGGATCGGAAAAAATCCTTAGATTTCCTTAGATTTTTTCTCTTCCTTAGATTTTCCTTTTCAACATTAGAATTTCCTTAGAGAAGGAAATTTCCTTGAAAATGGAAGCACTGGGTTTGCTTAACCCGGAGCCGCCCAAATCCCGCTTTCAACCTGCACCCGCCCAAACCCCGCCTGTTGCCTTCCGCCTGTTGCCTTCCGCCTGTTGCCTTCCGCCTGTTGCCTTCCGCCTGTTGCCTTCCGCCTGTTGCCTTCCGCCTGTTGCCTTCCGCCTGTTGCCTTCCGCCTGTTGCCTTCCGCCTGTTGCCTTCCGCCTGTTGCCTTCCGCCTGCTACTTACTTGGCCAGCCAAAAAAATCTCTGCGGACGAGGGTGCCTGCGGAGGAGGCATGCGAAATGGCGAATTGTTTTTTTCAACAAAGTTTGCAAAAAAGTTATATCGAGACCTAAAGTGGGAAAAAAGGTTTAGATAAAGATCGGCTGCACATGTTTTAACATGCTTAAAAACCGACCCATCTTATGAGTTAGTTCGAAGAAAAAAACATTGTCTAAGCCGAGAAGTCAAAGCTGAAGTTTATGTGAATCAGGGCAAATCTTTATCCGATTTACAAACATTGATTAAACATTCACTTCTTTTGTATTTTCCTCATTAATTATTAATGAATTTTTAAATATTTTTGTTTCAAAAAAATAAGAACACTTCGTTTAGGTTGAGAAAAACGAAACTCGACGAAGAATGAACTATAATTTCGTAAATTCATAAAATACTAGCAAAACAGTTACGTTCAGAGCATGCTAAAATGTTTTATGAGTAAATTATATTTACGCGAAACTACTTTGTTCTTACAAGACTGCACGATAATATGTTCACCGTTTTTGTAACTGCGCATTTGCTTTGAGCCTTTAAACAACTTAATATTTCAAAATTTATTTCCAAACTACAAATTAGACAGCAGAACAAAGCGTTTTGAGGACGAGAATTTAATTTTAGCTTTGTTTAGACTTTGTAGTTTGCACTCCTACTCAAATTCAACATGGCGGATTTA